CGCTTAGCGATTCGGCCAACAGGGTAAAAGTATTGAAGTTACGTAGCGTGCGCAAATTGGAGACTTGATGATAGCAGATAAAAAAATAACTTCCGACACTGGAATCGAACCCGGGCCTCCTGGGTGAGAGCCAGGTATCCTAGCCACTAGACCATGCCGGAGAACAGAGAGGGACGGAGCGATCGCTTAGCCATTCGGCCAACAGGGTAAAAATATTGAAGTTATAAGATATATAGCGTGCGCAAATTGGAGACTTGATGATAGCAGATAAAGGAAAATACTTCTGACACCGGGAATCGAACCCGGGCCTCCTGGGTGAGAGCTAAGCGATCGCTTAGCCATTGGGCCGACAGGGTAAAACTATTGAAGTTACATAGCGTGCGCCAATTGGAGACTTGTTGACAGCAGATGAAAGAAAATACTTCCGCCACCGGGAATCGAACCCGGGCCTCCTGGGTGAGAGCATGGTATCCTAGCCTCTAGACCATGCTGGAGAACAGAGAGGGACAGAGCGATCCCTTAGCCATTCGGCCAACAGTGTAAATGTATTGTAGTTACATAGCGTGCGCGAATTGGAGACTTGATAATAGCAGATAAAAGAAAATACTTCGACACCGGAATCGAACCCGGTGCCTCTGGGTGAGAGCCAGGTATCCTAGCCACTAGACCATGCGTGAGAACGGAGAGGACAGGAGCGATCGCTTAGCATTCGGCCAACAGGGTAAAAGTATTGAAGTACTAGCGTGCGAAATTGGAGACTTTGATGATCAGCAGATGAAAGAAAATACTTCCGCCACCGGGAAGGCGAACCCGGGCTCGCTGGGTGAGAGCCAGGTATCCTAGCCACTAGACCATGCCGGAGAACGGAGAGGACGGAGCGATCGCTTAGCCATTTCGGCAACAGGGTAAAGTATTGAAGGTATATAGCGTGCGCAAATTGGAGACTTGATGACAGCAGATAAAAGAAAATACTTCCGACACCGGGAATCGAACCCGGGCCTCCTGGGTGAGAGCCAGGTATCCTAGCCACTAGACCATGCCGGAGAACAGAGAGGGACGGAGCGATCGCTTAGCCATTCGGCCAACAGGGTAAAAGTATTGAAGTTACTATAGCGTGCGCAAATTGGAGACTTGATGATAGCAGATAAAAGAAAATACTTCCGACACCGGGAATCGAACCCGGGCCTCCTGGGTGAGAGCTAGGTATCCTAGCCTACTAGACCATGCCGGAGAACGAGAGGGACAGGAGCGATCGCTTAGCCATTTCGGCGACAGTGGTAAAATTATTGAAGTTACATAGCGTGCGCAAATTGGAGAATTGATGACAGCAGATGAAAGAAAATACTTTCGACACCGGGAATCGCAACCGGGCCTCCTGGGTGAGAGCCAGGTATCCTAGCCACTAGACCATGCCGGAGAACAGAGAGGGACGGAGCGATCCGCTTAGCCATTCGGCCAACAGGGTTAAAACTATTGAAGTTATATAGCGTGCGCGAAATTGAGACTTGATGACAGCAGATAAAAGAAAATACTTCCGACACCGGGAATCGAACCCGGGCCTCCTGGGTGAGAGCCGTATCCTAGCCACTAGACCATGCCGAGAGAACATGAGAGGGAAGGAGCGATCGCTTAGCGATTCGGCCAACAGGGTAAAAGTATTGAAGTTACGTAGCGTGCGCAAATTGGAGACTTGATGATAGCAGATAAAAGAAAATACTTCCGACAACCGGTAAGCGAACCCGGGCCTCCTGGTGAGAGCTAGGTATCCTACCATCTAGACCATGCTGGAGAACGAGAGGGACAGAGCGATCGCCTTAGCCATTCGGCCAACAGTGTAAATGTATTGAAGTTACATAGCGTGCGCAAATTGGAGACTTGATGATGCAGATAAAAGAAAATACTTCCGACACCGGGAATCGCACCCGGGCCTCCTGTGTGAGAGCCAGGTATCCTTAGCCAACTAGACCAGGCAGGAGAACAGAGAGGGCAAATAGCGATCGCTTAGCATTGGCCGACAGGGTAAAACTATTGAAGTTACATAGCGTGCGCAAATTGGAGACTTGTTGACAGCAGATGAAAGAAAATACTTCCGACACCGGGAATCGACACCCGGGCCTCCTGGTGAGAGCCAGGTATCCTAGCCACTAGGACCATGCGGAGAACGGAGAGGGACGGAGCGATCGCTTAGGCGATTCGGCCAACACGGTAAAAGTATGAAGGTACATAGCGTGCGCAAATTGGAGACTTGATGACAGCAGATAAAAGAAATACTTCGACGCCGGGATCGAAACCGGGCCCTCCTGGTGAGAGCCAGGTATCCTAGCCACTAGACCATGCCGGAGAACAGAGAGGACGAGAGCGATCGCTTAGCCATTCGGCCAACAGTGTAAAAGTATTGAAGTTACATTAGCGTGCGCAAAATTGAGACTTGATGACAGCAGATAAAAGAAAAGACTTCGACACCGCGAAATCGAACCTGGGCCTCCTGGGTGAGAGCCAGGTATCCTAGCCACTAACCATGCCGGAGAACGGAGAGGGACGAGCGATCGCTTAGGCATTCGGCTAACAGGGTACAATGTATAGAAGTTACATAGCGTGCGCCGAAATTGGAGACTTGATTGACTAGCGATGAAAGAAAATACTTCCGACACCTGGGAATCGAACCCGGGTCCTCCTGGGTGAGAGCCTAGGCTATCCTAGCCCACTAGACCATGCTGGAGCACGGCAGAGGGACGAAGCGATCGCCTTAGCCATTCTGCCAACACGTGTAAATGTATTCGATAGTTACTATCGCCGGTGCGCTAAATTGGGAGACTTGATGACTAAGGCAGATAAAAGAATATACTTTCCGACACCGGGAATCGGCACAGGCCGCGCCTCCTTGTGTGAGAGCCAGGTTCATCCTTAGCCTACTAGGACCATGCGGAGTAACAGGAGGAATAGCGATTCGCTTAGTGCATTTCAGGCACGACAGGGTAAAACGTATTGAAGTTACATTCGCATGCACAATTGGCAGACTTGATAATAGCAGATAAAGACAACTCCCTTCCGACACCGGGAATCAAACCCGGGCCTCCTGGGTGAGAGCTAGGTATCCTAGCCTCTAGACCATGCTGGAGAACAGAGAGGGACTAGAGCGATCGCTTAGCCATTTGGCCGACAGGGTAAAACTATTGAAGTTACATAGCGTGCGCAATTGGAGACTTGTTGACAGCAGATGAAAGAAAATACTTCCGCCACCGGGAATCGAACCCGGGCCTCCTGGGTGAGAGCTATGGTATCCTAGCCTCTAGACCATGCTGGAGAACAGAGAGGGACAGAGCGATCCCTTAGCCATTCGGCCAACAGTGTAAATGTATTGTAGTTACATAGCGTGCGCGAATTGGAGACTTGATAATAGCAGATAAAAGAAAATACTTCCGACACCGGGAATCGCACCCGGTCCTCCTGTGTGAGAGCCAGGTATCTTAGCCTCTAGACCATGCAGGAGAACAGAGAGCAAAATAGCGATCGCTTAGCCATTTGGCCGACAGGGTAAAACTATTGAAGTTACATAGCGTGCGCAAATTGGAGACTTGTTGACAGCAGATGAAAGAAAATACTTCCGACACCGGGAATCGAACCCGGGCCTCCTGGGTGAGAGCAGGTATCCTAGCCACTAGCCATGCCGGAGAACAGGAGAGGGACGGAGCGATCGCTTAGCATTCGGCCAACACGGTAAAAGTATTGAAGGTATATAGCGTGCGCAAATTGGAGACTTGATGACAGCAGATAAAAGAAAATACTTCCGACACCGGGAATCGAACCCGGGCCTCCTGGGTGAGAGCCAGGTATCCTAGCCACTAGACCATGCCGGAGAACAGAGAGGGACGGAGCGATCGCTTAGCCATTCGGCCAACACGGGTAAAAGTATTGAAGGTACATAGCGTGCGCAAATTGGAGACTTGATGACAGCGAGATAAAAGAAAATACTTCCGACACCGGGAATCGAACCCGGGCCTCCTGGGTGAGAGCTAGGTATCCTAGCCTCTAGACCATGCTGGAGAACAGAGAGGGACAGAGCGATCCCTTAGCCATTCGGCCAACAGGGTAAATGTATTGAAGTTACATAGCGTGCGCAAATTGGAGACTTGATGATAGCAGATAAAAGAAAATACTTCCGACACCGGGAATCGAACCCGGGTCCTCCTGTGTGAGAGCCAGGTATCTTAGCCACTAGACCATGCAGGAGAACAGAGAGGAAAATAGCGATCGCTTAGCCATTTGGCCGACAGGGTAAAACTATTGAAGTTACATAGCGTGCGCAAATTGGAGACTTGTTGACAGCAGATGAAAGAAAATACTTCCGCCACCGGGAATCGAACCCGGGCCTCCTGGGTGAGAGCATGGTATCCTAGCCACTAGACCATGCCGGAGAACGGAGAGGGACGGAGCGATCGCTTAGCCATTCGGCCAACACGGTAAAAGTATTGAAGGTAATAGCGTGCGCAAATTGGAGACTTGATGACAGCAGATAAAAGAAAAATACTTACGACACCGGGGAATCGAACCCGGGCCGTCCTGGGTGAGAGCCAGGTATCCTAGCCACTAGACCATGCCGGAGAACAGAGAGGGACGGAGCGATCGCTTAGCCATTCGGCCAACAGGTGTAAAAGTATTGAAGGTATATAGCGTGCGCTAATTGGAGACTTGATGACAGCAGATAAAAGAAAATACTTCCGACACCGGGAATCGAACCCGGGCCTCCTGGGTGAGAGCCATGTGTCCTAGCCACTAGACCATGCCTGAGACAGAGAGGGACGGAGCGATCGCTTAGCCATTCGGCCAACAGGCGGGTAAAAGTATTGAAGTTATATAGCGTTGTCGCAAATTGGGACTTGCTGACAGCAGATAAAAGGAAATACTTCACGACACCGGGGATCGAACCCGGGCGTCCTGGGTAGAGCCAGGTATCTAGCCACTGGACCATGCGGAAGAGCAGAGAGGGAAGGAGCGATGCTAAGCGAATTCGGCCAACAGCATAAAAGTATTGAATTAGCGTAGCTGTGCAAACTGGAGACTTGATGATAGCGGATAAAAGAAAATACTTCCGACACCGGAATCGAACCCGCGCCTCCTGGGTGAGAGCCAGGTATCCTAGCCACTAGACCATGCCGGAGACAGAGGAGGGAAGGAGCGATCGCTTAGCCATTCGGCCACAGGGTAAAGTATTGAAGTACATAGCGTGCGCAAATTGGAGACTTGATGATAGCAGATAAGAAAATACTTCCGACACCGGGAATCGAACCCGGTCTCCTGGGTGAGAGCTAGGTATCCTAGCCTCTAGACCATGCTGGAGAACGGAGAGGGACAGAGCGATCCCTTAGCCATTCGCCAACAGTGTAAATGTATTGAAGTTACATAGCGTGCGCAAATTGGAGACTTGATGATAGCAGATAAAAGAAAATACTTCCGACACCGGGAATCGCACCGGGCCTCCTGTGTGAGAGCCAGGATCTTAGCCTACTAGACCATGCAGGAGAACAGAGAGGAAATAGCGATCGCTTAGCCATTTGGCCGACAGGGTAAAACTATTGAAGTTACATAGCGTGCGCAAATTGGAGACTTGTTGACAGCAGATGAAAGAAAATACTTCCGACACCGGGAATCGAACCCGGGCCTCCTGGGTGAGAGCCAGGTATCCTAGCCACTAGACCATGCCGGAGAACAGAGAGGGAAGGAGCGATCGCTTAGCCATTCGGCCAACACGGTAAAAGTATTGAAGGTATATATCGTGCGCAAATTGGAGACTTGATGACAGCAGATAAAAGAAAATACTTTCGACACCGGGAATCGAACCCGGGCCTCCTGGGTGAGAGCCAGGTATCCTAGCCACTAGACCATGCCGGAGAACAGAGAGGGACGGAGCGATCGCTTAGCCATTCGGCCAACAGGGTAAAAGTATTGAAGTTATATAGCGTGCGCAAATTGGAGACTTGATGACAGCAGATAAAAGAAAATACTTCCGACACCGGGAATCGAACCTGGGCCTCCTGGGTGAGAGCCAGGTATCCTAGCCACTAGACCATGCCGGAGAACAGAGAGGGACGGAGCGATCGCTTAGCCATT